CATTGTTTCTTGTCCTGCCCACTGGTGCTTTGGAGAATAATTTGACCCCCTCTTCTTTGTGACAGCCTCTTAAATACTGGAATACTGCTATCATGTCACCCCTAATCCTTTTTTTCTTTAGACTAACCAAACCGAAATCCTGCAGCCCTTCTTCATATGTCTTAGTCTCCAGGCCTGGACACCGACGCCCATTAGCGAAACAGAGCCGGTTTCGCGGCACGTGCTCCTGACTGAGAGGGGAGGTTGGGGGCGGGGAAGAGCTGAAGCTGCAACAGGAGGGGCGTGGCTTGCAAGGCGGAAGCGGAATCAGAGGGGAGAACAGAAACCTCGGCCCCTCCTCCCTCCCGTCGCTGGATCTCCGGTTCCCGCCGCTAGTTCCACTTCGCCCGGCGGGAATCGGCGCTGGGTCCTTCGGGAGAGGCTTCTGCGTCCCGCTCGGGGCAGGTAGGGCGGCTCTCCCTCCGGCCTCCCCTCCTCCCAAGAGATCTCCTGCCCGCCTGGAGGAAGGGAGCTGCGACTTGCCGGGTTTTCCTCGGGGAGACCCGGCTCTGGCTTTGCCTGCAGGGAGCGGCTCCCTCCCTTCCCTCCTGTGGGGCAAAGGGGGTTCGGTCCCCGGGCTGGATCTGCCCCCTCCTAGCCCTGCCAAGGCTCCCTCGGGGGGCTCCGGGTGGATCCGAGAAGGACCTTTGGGGAGGTGGCTTTCAGAAGGTCTCTCTGTGGTCCGTCGGAGCATGCATATCTCGGAAGGGCAGTTGCAAAAATGGAGTAAACGGAGCTTTATTGAGATTTGTAGGGTGGTATTAACACAAACTGACCTCATTGCAATGGGAAGGGGAGGGTTTGGGGGAAAGAAAAGGTTTAAATTAGTTGAGCTCTTGCTTTAATGTACAAGAGATTCTCTCGGAGCTCAAAAGAAAAAGGCTAAAAATGAAAATGTTTTATGCTAACGTTTACTTTGCCTCTGCTTTAAAAAGCTGAGTATACTTTATAAACTTTATATTTTCCTTGTTTTGCCCAGGGGCTGTAACGTGGCAGTGCCTTCTTGGTTGGATGTTCTCGAAACCATAAATTTTAAGGAAGTTCTAATCTTGGAGCAGCTGCTAGAACAAGCTGGTGGCCGGAAGGTTGCCTTAAATAATTGTAAGTATTTTCCAAAATGCCTGTCCAAGGTAGTATTGGGTTCAGAAAGAGCAGCCCTTTTCACTCACGCTCTTCCCCATCTGATCTCTCATCTTCCCCTTTGAGTTTTCCTACTCACAACTTTGATCCCTGTTGGACTTGATCTTGCCAGATTCTTCCATTTTGGCTTATCGAGATGTTCTTGAATCACGATTCCATCTCCATTATTTGAATTGTAACTTCTCCTATCTCTCCCAGGTCATTTATAGGTTATTGTTGGCATCTGAACCTTTTTCATTTGTCTTTGCAGGAGGTAAAGGACAAGAGTTGTTCTCGGATCGGGACCCACCAACCTTTGGCTGGGACAGCATTCTAGAGAATTTGGAAATCGTGGCGTGGTTGGAGAAGCAGCTTTGTGCACCAAGGGCCATTCGATCAGGCAACGTTTAACTGGTCAGCGGTGAAAGTGTTGGCTCAGAGGGGAACAAGTAACCCAGAGACCTCTTAACTATAAATGCAAAGGTGAGTAAATAAATGTTGGTTTGGGGAATAAGCTTTTTTAATCTTTGTCAAAATGGCAATGCTGCCAAGGTGCTGGGTGAAGGCGCAATTCCTTTAATCAATATTTCTTGAAGAAACCACTCTGGGTGGAGTTGGAGACTCCCTGGGCAGAAGGCCACGGAGTGGGGGAGTCGCATCGGCTGGGTGGAGGCGGAAAGAGGCTGCCTGGGGACTCGCCTGGAGGTGGGGCTGTTGCTGTCCAGCCTTCATCCTGTCCCTCCAGGGGGAAATGTTCTCTCAGCCCAAACTGGGTCTTGCTTCAGGGATACATTATGTGTGCAAACTTTTCTTGTTTGTGCCTTGTTCCATAATGCACTTGGGGTTATGGTTTAGTAAGCTGAAGCGCTTAGGCCTTCTACCTAAGGCTTAAACCTTAATTGAAATTCTCTGGATCCTTTATTGGGGATTTGGGGTGAATTTACCCCAGCATTAAACCATGTCACAGGTCAGCTTTTTAAAAATTATTTCAGGGCTGCTTAGGATGACAAATAGAGTCTTTCATTTCACTTTGAGGAAGCTCTCTCTAGCTTTATTTGCCTTGATCAGCCATGGTCCTTTTATGAGTAACTTGGCTGTTGCACCTGGAGAAGGATGAAATGCTAAATCAGAGCCACTTTCCCATCCTCCTTTCCTGTCTGATCTTCTAGGGTTGAATCTCTTTTTGGAAGAAGTGATTGAACTCCTCCTCCTAATACACAAACACACGCACAGCTTTTTGGTTAGGCCTGGCTGTGCTCAGAGCATCAGAGAAGCAGCCTCGGGGGTCCCAGGAAATCAACCGGCAAACAAATTTAAACAACAAATAAACAGCACGAAGGAAAGTTGCCTGGTCTTCCCTACAGGAAGAGACTGAGTTGTGAAACGGATCCATGCAGGGAGAGCCAGTGTGTCATGAGGAAGCCAGGATCAATTAGTTATAATGGGATGGAACTGGAATAAGTGGAAAAATCAGAAAAAAGCAAAAGGGGGAAAGAAATGGGTTGCTTACGCTAACCTCAACTCTCTTTCCACCTCTTTTGCTTCTGCAATGCCTTTGTCTTTTGTGTTGCCTGTAGGTAGACCTTGACTTACGACTACAATTGGGATTGGAATCTCGCTTGTTTAGCACAGTGGTCATTGTGTAAGATATCACATGATGGCTTTGGCCAGTTAGGGTAATTCTGCACTTACTGTTGGGGTTAAGTGATTTCACTGGTCATTAAGTGGATGAAGTCCCAGATAAGAAGCACTGCTTTGTCTTTGTGGGGGGTAGGGGACACCATCCGAGTCCCAGCACAATTTTTTTTTTCTGTATAATTTTTTTTCTTATTTACAAACACATTGTGTGGACAGTGTGGTACCAGGGTGTCTTACATTTTTAAACAAATATGACAATATTGTTCATATACAGTTGATAATCTTATAAAGTTTCATATTAATACACATAGATTCTTTGATTATGCACCATTTCAATATTTTATTTTTATGTCAATCTCCATATTCCAGATATCTCTCTTTTTCTACAGGTAGAATATTAATCATATTTGTAGTGTTTAACAGATCGATGTGATTCCAATAATTCACCAATTGATATTGAATTATAATCTTTCTGTATTTATCCCCTTTCTAATTTTTAATTTTGTCACTATTATACCACTATTTTAAAAATATCTCCTTTCAAATCACATTTTACAACTTAATGACAGAAAATAATTATATTTACATTTGAGAAATTATATAATTCTAATAATACAGTTGCCTTGTCAAGTTGTAGTCTTTCATTATTCCCTTATTCAATGTTTTAATGTTATTTTTATATCAATCAAATTCTACATATCATTCCTTTTCTCATTGAAATTCTATAGTCCCTTGTTAATTCACGTTATAATGTAAAAGTATCTATTCCATTAATCTCCCTTTCTCTAAAATTATCAATCTTAATTATTCAATATTACCGTATGTTATTTTTGTGTAAATCTCTATATTCTTAACATCATTCCTTTTACTATTGATACTATATTAATAGTCATATTTGCAGTGTTTAACAAGTTATATAATTCTAATAACCATTCATAAATTCATATTGATTTATATGTTCCCATTATTTATTCCCTTTTAGTTTTTAATTTGCCACATATTTAAGGAAAAGTCCCTTTCTAGTCTCATTTTGAATGAAATAATATTCATGTTTACATTTAACAAATTGTACAATTCTAATAGTATAATTCTATCTTATAAAATAAGATTTCACTACATTATTTTTATGTCAATCAGATTCCACATATTTCTTTTCCTACCATAGAATGGTAATATTCATGTTTATTACATTTAATGATTGTATATCTTTACTAATAATACACACATTTATGTGGAATCCTAATGTTTTTCTTCCCTTTAGCCATCATCTCTTACTCGCATTAGAGCTTTGATCAATCGTTTCTTAGCTTGTCTCCCATATTCCTCTCTTAAATTTTCGTCTCTATCATTTTTTGACAATTCTTCTTAATCATTCCTCCCTTCTCTATTAAGTTCCATTGTTTCATTTTCAAGTTATTTACTCTTATCCCTTTCCTTCTCCCAAAAAAATCACCCTGAAATTCCAATTCCTCTTTGACTTGCCTTAAAGCACTCTCCCCTTGGTTTAGTACTTCAGTCGTTTTTATTTTTATTTCCTTTTTGTCATTTCTTTTTATTTCTTGTTCCATCTGTTCTATTTTTCTGGTTACTCTTCCAATTGGCTCCTCCCTTTCCTGGATCTCCTGTTTTCTTTCTGTCATTTGCGTCTCCATTTCCAGGCCTAGTTCCATGCTCTGTATTTTATTTAGAATGTCCTCAAATCTCTTTGTCATGGTGTCTTTAATGTCCTGAAATTCCAATGCAAATTCCTTACAAATTCCACCCTTGTTTTTATTTATTTCTGTCCAATTGTCCAACAGTCCTTTATTCATACCAAAGTCACTTTTCAGATTAAAAATCCAATGTCCAGGAATCTTTATATCCCAACATTAATCAGTCTATTCTTTTAAATGGTCCAAGGGTGAATCCTTTATAAATTCCTCCACCAGTTAAATCTTGTAGCTTTCCAGGATCTTATAATAAAAGTCTCTTATTTCTCGCTTTGATTCTCCTTAAATCAGGTCTTATCAAAACTTTGGGAATCCGTAGTATCTTCTTTTAATAATAAGTGCCATTCTTGAATCAGTTTTCACTTTTCTCTTTTTTTCCCCTTTCTCATCAAACTTTACTGATATTTTCGGATAGATGATAGATAGATAGATAGATAGATAGATAGATAGATAGATAGATAGATAGATAGATAGATACATTGGTTTTGAATAGGCATTTTTAAAATGCTGTAATCTATTTAATATATATATATACCGTGTTTCTCATATAATAAGGCCAGGTCTTATTTTTTTTTGAACCCCGAAAAAATGGCTAGGTCGTCTTTTCGGGGGTGACTTAATTCCCCCCCTTGCATCTTTGGGCAGGCGGGCGGCGACAGCTTGGATGTTGACCTTGGCGTTGGTGGGTACTTCGTATCGGGGTCAACGCAGGCAGCACCATATCCGGGTGTGCAACAAAAGTACTTCCTAACGGCAAGCCCCCCCACCATTCCCCCCATTTTGCATGTTTTAATATAGGCCTTAATTTGGGGGGAGGGGCTTAATTTCATTTCATGCCTATAAAACATGCTGGGACTTCCTATTGGGGGAGGCCATATTGTTGGAGAAACAGGGTATATATTTTAAAAATGCCTATTCAAAACCAATGTCTCCAATCAAAAATTCCAGTTTTCTGTATTTTTAACGAATTTACTATTTTCTTCCTTTATTTTACTTTGCTTCTTTCATCTGTTTTTAATATTAAGAATTCTACTCCACTACCAATTTAAAAATTATTATGAGTCCTCTTTTCTTTTCTGAGTATTCTTACCAGGGTTGCACTTAAAAGTTCAAAAGTATTCTCTCACCCAGTTCGCACACATTCACCGTCTCTTCGCTCCTGCATGATCTTGGGTATTCAAACTGTCTCCAGCTTCGTGGCAACCATTTTGGTTGCCACTGCACTCCATCTTCAGATAAGGGGGTTTTCCATGTCAGGTTGGAGAGATGCAGCTCTCCTCGACCTGCCAGGCGGTCACCCTTTATTTCACCACCCCTCCAGGGTGGCTATGGCTCCAATTGGAGCCCTCTTAACGGGGTGAGCTCAGATCGGGACTGCAGAGCTCACAGTCCTCGCTTCTGATGGCGCCAGAACCTCCATCCCAGCACAATTCAAGTTTGACTTGAGGGGTCCTAGAGAAGCTTGGAGGAGTTTGGGGGCACATTGCTTAGAAACAGTAAGGAACATGTGGCTTGGAGAATGGTGCAAGGCTGCAAAGGCCTCCTGTCTGGGGATTAAGGCCACATTTTGGGGTGGCACCAGTAACAATGGGCTGAAGTCCAATCCTGGGGTCTGTGGCAGATGGCTGAAGGACCCAGGCCTCCACTTAAGGGGCCATCCTGGCATTTCTGCCTCATTGAGCGACTGCAGCTCTCTTAATTCATGTGTGGCTTGTGCTGAATCTCCGGGGTCTCCCTTATCCCCTTCAGGTACCTTTGAGTACTTCCCTGGGTCTTCCTTCATTTAACAACACCCAAAAACACTTAACAACTACAACAACAGAAGATTTTGCATCCAAGATATGTGGGGGCTCCATCATTGGAGATTTTGTCTAGCTATTTTAGACCCTGGGCAGGGGGGTAGACTGGAAGACCTTCATGGTCCCTTCCAAGTCTCAGATTTTGCTATTCCCTTCTCAAAAGGAAATAATATTCTCCATCTCTTTTTTTTTTCCTAACAGAAATAAAATATTGTGATCCAACCTTTACCTGCAAGTCGACTACGAGAAACAGTAGAAAAACAGCACAAGGCAGCCGCCGCCAACAAGTATGGAGCATGAGAAACCCTTGGCTCTCCCATCAGATACAAGTAACACTCCAGAAAACCACCAAACAACCCATATATGCTCAGAATGTGGGAAAACCTTTGCTTGTTGGTCCCTCCTTTTGACCCACAGGAAGATCCACTTTCAAAGCGGATCCAGTCAAGGTTTGGAGGCCGGACTAAAACCTTATAAATGCGAGGAATGTGACTTATGTTTTGAACGAAAACTAGAACTTCTTAAACATCAGAAAATCCACACTGGAGAGAAACCTTATCAATGTCTGGAATGTGGGAAATTTTTCCGTGCAAAATCTACTCTGACAGAGCACAAGAGAATCCACACAGGGGAGAAACCTTACAAGTGTTGGGAATGTGGGAAGAGCTTTTCTCAGAACTCAACTCTTTGGCAACATAACAAGATTCATTCAGGAATAAAATCTTACAAATGCTTGGAATGTGGGAAGTGTTTCACCCTGAGAACATATCTTCAGAGTCATGCAAAAACGCACAGAGGGGAGAAAAAGAAAAAAACTTACAAATGCTTTGTGTGTGGAAATTGTTTCACCCAGAGTTCAGCTCTTCAGAGTCATTGGAAAACACACAGAGGGGAGAAAAATGTAAAGTGCCTTGAATGTGGGAGATACTTTTCCAGTAAATCAACCCTGGCGCGACATCAGAAAATTCACACTGGAGACAGACCCTTTGAATGCCCAGAATGTGGGAGAAGATTTATGTATTCTTTTGAACTTCGGAGACATCAGAAAGGTCACAAAGGGGAGGAACCCTATAAATGTGGGGAGTGTGGGAAAGGTTTTCTTACACGAAAAGACATGCGGAATCATGAGAGAATCCACACCGGGGAAAAGCCGTACAACTGTTTGGAGTGTGGGAAATGCTTTTCCCGAAAACACACCCTCAGAATGCATGAGAGGGTCCATTCAGGCATGAAGCCATACAATTGCATAGAATGTGGGAAATCTTTTGCATATAAGGAAGTACTCTGGAGACATCAGCAAATTCACACCCGGGAAAAGCCATATCAATGCATCGAGTGTGGACAATTTTTTCGTACCACATCAAACCTTAGAAATCATATAAAAATTCACACCGGGGAAAAAAGTTATAAATGTTTAGAGTGTGGGAAAGCATTTGCGCGGTCATCTTACCTTACAAGTCACAGCCGAATCCATTCAGGAGAGAAGCCCTTTAAATGCTCAGAGTGCGATAAATGTTTTTCTCAGAAAGATACTCTTTTGAAGCATCAGCGAATGCACACTGGAGAAAAACCATATAAATGATCTGATTGTGGGAAATGTTTTGCCCAACCTTCATCCCTTCGCATGCACAATCGATATCACACTGGAGAGTAGTCTCACAACTGTTTGTTGCAAATCACAACTAAAATGCATCCGAAAGTCCATAGCAGAGATAAATCTCTTCAGCTGTGAACAATGCAGGGCCCTACTTTCTTCTGTTTAGAGGTCACCTTGCCAGGTACTTCACATTGTGACAGAAGGGACCTGGATTGCCAGCTCTGAACTGGGATAGGAAATCCTGTTTAGGGTTGTCAAATAAAACTTAAGGTTTCAGTGAAGTTTTTTTTCCATGTGAACTGTATGAAAGTCCATAATCTTCTGGCCTGGGATTTTTTTTTTAAAAAAAAGTTTTTAGTCTATTGTCCAGCCTTAATAAAAGAAATTACACTATCCTACCACATTTTAGTTTCTCCAGAGTGCACATCTCTTACATTGTTCACCCCAGTGATTAAAAAAGCTAAATGAAGGCTTGGCTTGCTTCCTGGGCTGAAAGATAATAATAGTTTAAAGTTGCTGCCTGACAGAAATTTTGGGCTTAATTGTGGCCCTGTACTTGCTTTGTAAAATAAATGGGATTAAATGTGTCAGGGAATCTTTCTATGGAGATTCTCAGTCATCCAGGTCATGGTTATCCCAAAGGTACTTTTTTCAAGGGGCAACTGGACTTTGTGGCATTTCTTTGAAGACGTTTTGGTTATCATCCAAGAAACAAACACCTTCAAAGAAAAACCACAAAGTCCAGTTGTCTCTTTGAAAAAAAGCACCTTTGTGTCAGGGAATTGCACACCTGGCGACCAAATGGAATCAGAGACACTGACAGAAACTTGTTTTAAAAAATAAGTAAATATATTTACAGTAAACAAGAGAAGGAAACGGGATCATACCAGGTGAATCAGCAGTGCAGGAACACCATGAGGTAAATCACAGAGAGCACACAGGGCAAAAAGGCGGGAAACAAGGAACCTCCCTCTTTTCACTCAAGGCAACCAATCACAGCTTAGATTGCCTCATGCAGGGCCAGCCCTCTTCAATCAATCAGCTGTAACTCTTCCCCAACCTCCCATTTCAGTTATAAATTTAAATATCTTGACAAAATGTAGAATGGGGGGGGGGGTTAACGGAAATATTTGTTTACTCACCTATTACATTATTGTATTTTATTCCAATCACATTTTACATTATTTTTATCGGATTTTAATAATTTAGGTTTGGAAGTCTGCACTTTGATATGGCCTATGGGCTAATCTATAAGCTAAAGTAAACCTTGACAAAACACCCAGGGAAGTCGAAACGGAAATATTGTGCAGTTACACTTGCTTTGTATGTGAAGTGGGATGACATGCTTTGCCCAGAGGCTTTTTCTGAGAGAGGAACAAGAAGGGATTCCAGAAGGAATGTGAGATTCTGGCTCAGTTCGTTGGAGAAGAGAGGAAGGACATGTTGACCAGAGACAAAACTTGGAAATTATGTTTTATTCAATGTGACAGTGCTCTCTAGATGTTTGGGGAGTGGACAAGGTCGCTTTCAGCATGAACTGGAAGAGGTCTTCTAGTCCAGCCCCCTGCTCAAGCAGGAGAACCTACACTATTTTAGATAACTTACTGTCTAGTCTCCTCTTAAAAACCTCCAGCGACAAAGCACC